TAATCTTTTATCTGATTAGTATAAGGAAAAGCACCACAATAAAAAAAAATCCATGAAAATTACAAAATGAAAACTTTGTTTTGGTACCAAATGAGACTCTGTGTAGATATACTTGAACCTCAATTTAAGTACACACACACTTTATGTTTGTTCTGGGAGAGTTAATGTTCTTAAAAAATATTTATGTATGTATTTGTTTATTTATTTATTTTGGAGAAAGGGTCTTGCTCTATGGCTCTGCCTAGAGTGTAGTGGCATCATCATAGCTCACAGCAACCTCAAACTCCTGGGCTCAAGCAATCGTCCTGCCTCAGCCTTCTGAGCAGCTGGGACTACAGGTGCCCGGCCCACCACAATGCCCAGCTAATTTTTCTTTTCTTTTCTTTTTTTTTTTTTTTAGAGAGAGGGTCTTGCTCTTGCTCAGAGCTGGTCTCAGTCTCCTACCCCTACTTGACCAAAAGCTAGAACAAGGTGGCTCACGCCTGTAATCCTACCACTTCGGGAGGTTGAGGCCAGAGAGCCCAGGAATTTGAGGTTGTTGTTGCTCTATGATGACACCACTACACTCTAGCCCGGGTGACAGAGTCTTGCTCTGTCACCAAAAAAAAAAAAGGCATATTAAGGGCATTGAAACACTCCTCTGTGTCTTTTGATTGCTAATTCATTCCTGTCTTTGATGAATCTCAATTCTCAGTAATGAGTTGTTTCTTTGGTTAGGTAAATGAAGAGGAAGAAAACCAAGACACAGAAAAAAGTTCAAAAGTATACCGCCCAGGTAAACTCAAACTCAGTTTTGAAGAAATAGAAAGGCAAAGGAGAGAAGATGAAAAAAGGAAAGCAGAGGAAGAAGCCAGAAGGAGAATAGAAGAAGAAAAGAAGGCATTTGCTGAAGCAAGGAGAAGCATGGTAAGACAGAACCTAACTGGAGACTGCCAATAGAATTTAGCTTTTAGAGTATGTTAATATAAATTATTAGGCTTTGGGGAACACCCTATTATTCCTGGAATCTGTGCCAAGTGTAGGAGTGACAAATAGGTTTTAAAGTCTCCCATAGAATAACACTAGCCAGTTGAAGGTATTTGCTCCAATTTAGTGTTGAGAAGGTTGTCATTAAATTGCTGTGCCTGGCGTAAAGGATTGACTATTATCTTCCTTCTCTGGGAAGGCATGTTTTCCAGAACTGAGTGCCTAAGAAGAAGCAGGGAGTTCCCTCCACTCGCTTATCCTTTCTTCCTCTTCATTGTCTCCTCCTCTCTCTTCCCATGTTCCCTCTTTACCTTATTCTTTCCTTCCTTTCTTTCTTTTCAATTTTTATCCCATCCAGTATATATTAAATGACCAGAGTCATTTAATCACAATTATTTAACTCTCTAAAATGCTCACCCATCACTCCTAAATATTGATACCTACCTTAATCATCACAAAGTTATAACTGTACTTCCCATATGAGTTTAATTTTTTTTATTTTTTTAATTTCAGCATATTACGGGGGTACAAATGTTTAGGCTATGTATATTGCCCTTGCCCCACCCGAGTGAGAGCTTCAAGTGTGTCAATCCCCCAGACAGTGCGCACTGCACCCATTACGTGTGTAATATACCCATCCCCTCCTTGCCAACTATTTTTAAGCAACTGGACATATGAACACTGCATCCCCTTCTCGAAACTTTTTTTTTTTTTGAGATAGGGTCTCACTCTGTTGCCTGGGCTGGAGTGCAGTGGCATCATCATAGCTCACTGCAACCTCAAAGTCCTGAGCTCAAGCCATCCTCCTACCTCAGCCTCCTGAGTAGCTGGGACTACAGGCATGTGCCAGTGGGCCTGGCTTTTGTTTTTTGGTTTTTTTTTTTGTAGAGACAGGGGTCTCGCTATGTTGCCCAAGCTGGTCTCAAACTCCTGGCCTCAAGTGATCCTCCCACTCCAACCTCTCAAAGTGCTAGGATTACAGGCATGAGCCACCATACCTGGCCTGAAACATTTTAATTGGCTCAGTGATATCATAAACCTGGTTTTCTTACTCTGTCTGGGTAACATTCAGACATATATGTTGAAGTAATTACGTGGCTTCATCACCCACTCAGGTGCTCAAATCAGAAACTTGGAAGCCTGAACACTTCCATTCTCATTCATACCTCACATCTAGTCACTAAGTCTCATTCATTCTACCTCTTAAATCACTCTAAAATCTGTCAGTTTTTCCCCATTTCCCATCACTACTACTATAATCCAGATTACTGTATTCCTTCCCTGGGCCCAACCTCTAATTAACTTGCTTTTTTACCTGTAATCCGTTCTTCCCTCTAAGACCAGGAGTGATCTTTAAAAAATAGAAAAGCAGGCCGGGCGCGGTGGCTCACTCCTGTAATCCTAGCATTCTGGGAGGCCGAGG